CGGCGCATGCATGGATTATGATGCAACTTAATAAAAGCGCTGCATTACCTGATCGCTAGCCCGGACAATATTAAACTATATTTTTCCAGCTAAGATAGTTCTAAGGAAAATATATGCATTAAAAACATTTTCATGACAAGTCAGCAAATAAATTTCCTCAATTAAAAAATTCAATCACGTCTAAGATCAAATTGATCGAAAATATAGCCCATTCATTCAGGGTCAATTTGGCGTGACTTTTTTGCCACGTGGCCGCTACTTTTTTGTTTGGGGCGACGACATCGACATGACTTCGAAGAATCCGAGCAAAAGTTGGGCCGCGGGTTGTACCCAACTTCCCACTTTTTCTCTAGGAAATATTATCACTTTGCCCCTCCTGCCACGGAACCTTTCTTGCCCTAGCCGCGCACCGCCCTCCTCCTGCGTGCCTAAAATCTTTCTTCAGCCCTGTTTTCCTTCTTTAGGACTTCTCTGCTGCCTTCAACCGTCCCGTTCTTATTCTTCTTCTTCGGAGTTCTTGCAGTAATATTCCTTTAATTTGGCGTGACTTTTTTGTCCCGTCACGTGGTCGCTATTTTCTTCTTTTTTTTTTCGTTTGGCACGACGGCATCAACATGACTTCGAAGAATCCGAGCAAAAATTGGGCCGCGGGTTATACCCAACTTCCCACTTTTTCCCTAGCGAATATTATCACTTTGCCCCTCCCGCCACGAAACCTTTCTTGCCCTAGCCGCGCACTACCCTCCTCCCGCGCGCCAAAAATCTTCCTTCAGACCTGTTTTCCTTCTTCAGGACTTCTTTGCTGCCTTCAACCGTCCCGTTCTTCTTCTTCTTCTTCGGAGTTCTTGCAGTAATATTCCTTTTCTTTTTTTGTTTCTTCTCTTTTTTTTTATGGATAACAAACGGCGATTCTCCCTTTACAGCTCTGATTCCTTCTTCCTCTCACGTTTCTAGCCTCTTTTGGCTTCTTCGGCGATCTCAAAGGTATATGATTTTTTTTCTTTTTTATTTTCCATTAATTCCAATTTTTCGAGAGTTGGTTCCTTTCATGATTATATACATTTGCATTTTTAATGGGAAAATCCAAATTTAGTGCCTCAAGATCCTTTTACAGGCACGCAGAGTTACTATGTTTCTTCCTTGCTTGATGTGCATTAGCAGTTTGACTTCCATCTCCAATATGTATAAGAGTTTCAAACTCTTGGAAGTGTTTCTTTTGATTCAATAAATGATCTCGTTACAATTACCAACGCGCCTCTTGATGTATTATCTTCAAATGCTTTTTTTAATAACTTTCTAGCATTACCGATTAACAGTGAGATGGCAAATAGGAGTTGAAAGGTTTTGATTGGCTTAGTTCACGAGAAGTTTATTTTTTCTTGTTTATGTTTTCTGACAAGAATGTTAACTTGCTCTTTATTTGATTTATATCCCGGTTTGTATAATTTTCTAAATTTTGATTGTATTTCAGATAATTGTTTTACTTTATCATAGTAATAAAATGACCAATAAGTCCAAAGAGCTTGGTACACCGACACTGTGGGAAAAAGAAATAAAATTAATATTCTACGACCTTTGCCTTTAAGGAAATTTAATTGAGCAATAAACCGACCACCTTTTTCAATAAGGAAGGCTGACAGAACATTATGAAGAGTTTTAAGGAATGTGCTGGTAGGAACTACGACAAGCTGCAAATGAAAAACAAGTGAGATCAACTCAAGAAAGATTTGAATATTTGGAAGGATTTGAAAAGAGGCTCAACAGGTTTAGGTTGGGATCCGGTGAAGCGTATCATTGATGCTCCAGAAGAGTGGTGAACAAAAAGACTGCTCAACAGGTTTAGGTTGGGATCCGGTGAAGCGTACCATTGATGCTCCAGAAGAGTGGTGAACAAAAAGACTTCCGATAATGAATTTTTTTACTAGTTTAATTTGAGTCATTTCCAAAACAGATACAAATCCGTCTCGAATTGATGTTGACTTCCACAGTGTCGATGAAAATCAATAAGAGGTGCCTGCAGAAGCATTCGAATACCATCACAGGCAATCTCTGCCACGAGATGACAACGATCAGTCAGATATTTGTACAAAGGAAAGGAAAAGTGCAAATGAAATGGCTGTCATTCGAGAATATACAAGAGGTGCCTGCAGAAGCATTCGAATACCATCTCGGGCAATCTCTGCCACGAGATGACAACGATCATTCAAATATTTGTACAAAGGAAAGGGAAAGTGCAAATGAAATGGCTGTCATTCGAGAATATATCACTAATGCATTAGTTGTAGGGTGAATATGTTAAATTCCTTTATTTATTTTCTCTAAGACTGAGCTTTCCCTTGAGTGCATTTTGAATGCATTATAGATCTTAGATGCATGACTAATCTTTTTTTTTTTTTTTGTACAAGGGTATGAGCTCTGCAATCATGAATGTACAATACAAATTATTTTTTTTTGAAGATTTTTCTTTTGGGAATTTAGCGCTACTTGTAGAGAATATCTACATCCAAATACATAAATGTTTTTATGGGAATTGAGCTTTCCTATGAGAGCATTACATACATAGCACAGAATTGCTTACAGAAATGTATTTGGAAAATCTGCATCCAAATACTTTTCATTGCTTTCCTTGCAATTATTAAAGTTTAGTTGTTAGATATGCAAGCACAAAGGAATTCGTCCATATTTTCATACAAATATTGGAGGATTAAAGTTTGGTAGAGCAGATGCAGCCTTGTAAATTCCATGGGAATGACAAGGTTTATATGTTTTCATCGTTGGTTGTAATTTTTGCAATTTTCTGTTATTTGCTAATGATTTTTTTTCAGCTATTTTCTGCTACTTTTCAAATGAGCGTTGGTTGCCAAACTGCTTGGCATCTGCATTTGGTGGTTGGCAATTTGTTGATAATTGGAACTTCATGCACATATAATTTGTAGGGGCATGTACATAAATAACACCTATTTGCAACTTATATGTATTTTCATATTTTTTTAGATTGACAGTTCTAGCAGGTTTACTAAATTTGAGCAAGTGAAGGTGAAAGAAGTTTTTATTTGATGCTGCAGGAATTGAAAACATATTTGAGCAAATATTGGGCATTTACGTACATATGACAGAATTCTTATATATTTGTATTTCTCACACCTAAATGTATAAAATATTTCTGATTTAATTTACAGATATAGCACAAAATTCCCAAGCTTTACATACATAGCACAAAATTCTTATATATTTACATATATTTTTTAGCACAGAATTCTCATACATTTACATACCACACAATTCATTTATGCGAAGCTTGAGAAATGGTATTTTTTTATGCGATATTTTCAAAGTTTATTTTCTGCGATTTGTTTTTTTTTTATTTCAGTTTGAAATTGCAAGAATTGTTTTTTCTTTAGTTAATCTGGGAGACGTAGATAATTTTTTTAGCTTTTGGCTGTGTTTATTCTATGGCCATTTCTGGATGTCATCACCCCTTGACAGAGATTTATTTGTGGAGTTCTGATGGGGAATTAAAATTAGGAAAAAAATAAAAAACTTTTATATGAAATTTAAGCTCCTGTAGTGAACATTGTATGCTGATTTTTGGGATTTTAAATCCCATAATTTCTATTATTTAAACATTTTTAAGGTTTTAATTCAATAAAAATTCACTAAATATGGGCTGTCATAATAAAAAATTAACCATATGTATGAAAGGTAAATGCATATATGAAACAGTTAATCATATATATGAAACAGTCTTACTAAATAAGGACAAAATTGACATTTTTTCAGAAACAGTTGCTCTGCAGCTATTTTCACGCAGCAGCTTCCTGGGACAGGACAGCTGCAACTGAAAAGCTGAGAAGTTGCAGCTGTGGCAGCAGCTTCCTGGGACAGGGCAGCTGCAACTGAAAAGCTGAGAAGTTGCAGCTGTGCCAAATAGACCCTCATTTAGGTTTGAATGACCAACATGAGGATCAGATGATTAAGCGTGATTGCTCATCAGATTCCCTAACTAATTCAATATGACTTGCAAACAAAATTTAAAATAAAATAATACTTTGTCCAATCTGGCGAATAAGGCAGTTAGTGGAACTGCCAGCTGTTACACCTCACTAGACAACCAAAAATCAACAAGTAATATCTTCAGGCCACATGCCGACCCAATTACCTGATATTTCAGTAAACTAGCGTTTAAAGAAATGATTATTAATGAAGTGACCCTTCAGTTATCCAACTACTACTCCAGAAATAATTGATCCAAATGTCCAAAACAACTAAAAAAATAAAAAAATAAACAATGCTTCTTCGCCAAATGAAAACAAAGATTACTCCATGATAAATTATTAAGTATATCTTCTTCTTAATCGCTGTTATCTGATCTTGTTACCGTCCTAGATTTTGTCAGCACCCGGAGCACCAAAAAAGCAAGTAACGTATGAAGAGAAAAATCAGGGTGAAACTAAAAGAAAACCAAAAAAAAAAAACAAAACTTTTGGGGGAGGGGGAGGATAAGATTTCTTCATTTCGATTCACTCATTTACAGCAACACTTGATAGAATTTCATAAAAGAAAAAAAAAAGGTACCAACTAGAGAGAAAAAGAAAAAAGAGAAACAAGGAGCATTTTTTTTCTGTATAAATATTCATCTCTGATCCTGAAATCCTCCTCTTCTGCCAAGAAGCCCTGCGATTATAGAGGCAAACAGTTCTTTTAGCCTTGGAAATGGAAATTTGAGCAAGATAGTTAGCCAGCATGAAGTGATTCTTTTGCAACAAGGTAAGAAAAAAAAATCTGAGGAGAAACTAAATAGTGATAGAAATAAAAATTCATTGAAGACAAAAAGACAGCTATAACCACTTGGAAGACAGCAATATAAAGTAAATACAACTTTAAAACCGGATTTTAAAAAGAAAAAAGATTTACAATGAACAGTAGTGGCCGTACTCATACCTGAAAAGGTCCAGCTTTTTATCAGCTGGATGAGCTACAAATTCAAAGACTTTTAGCTAGTTGATAAATATGTCGAATTCTCAACCTTAAAGAAAAACTTTTAAGAGATGCAAATATAGAAAAATAAAAAGAAATTAAGATTCTAGAGTGACAAATTAAGTCACGAGGTTATAAGGATTCTGGAGTGCTGAAGTTAAGATTTTAAGCTGGAATCACATCTGCATCAAATTTATATTTTGATACTAAATACAAAAAACAAATGAAGATTCTGCAGTAAAAACGCTTGTGACTTCCAATAATAATGCCATTTCTTGGCAGGAAGCAGGAAATGTTATAAAAAGAAGAGTTTTAAGTTGAAAGAAAAAAGCAATATTTTTGTTAAATAAACAGGAATAAATAAAATAACGGAGAACTAACACAAAGGAAACAAAATGAGAGGTCATAAATTAAGTAGGATGTGATCAAAACCTGAAAGTAGAGTTATTAATGAAACGAACCAAAAAGAAAACTGACTCAATGAGTTCAATAAATGCCCGATTCCAAAGAAAACGCAGAAACGAATCGACGGGAAGATGCATGAGAAACCCACGGTCAAGATGGCAACTTTTTAGCTTCCTCACCTTTTGGGATCTCCCGGATGCCACCAATCGCCACCTCTGCGCCCTCCGCCGGCCTGCAATCCGGCGGAACCTCGAACAGAGAGAGTGAAAGCTGCTTGTGAGCGACGCCGATGTCGAAGAGGATGACGCCGGAAGAAGGGTTAGAAAGCAGGATTCCACGCACGGGAAGCCATAGGAAGAGCTCTTCCTGCTTTAATCCACTTACGCTTCCGAGCGCACCATAGCTGAGGTTGCCACGCACTACTTGGTCGAAGAATGCGAGGCCATCGTACTTGGCGAAGCAGGGGCGGTCGAGCCGAACCTCGAGGATCCCAGTTGCGCTGTCAAGGGTGTAGGATTCCACGGACTTCGGAAGGAGGCCGGCAGGTAGGCCGTGCTCGCGAAGAAGGTCGTGAATGGAGCCTTCGCCCCCCCGGGCCCACGCGCTCGCCGCCGGCGTATCCGGCGGCGACGGTAAAAATTAAAGCGGTGGCGGAGAGGAGTAACAGAGAAAGAGGGGTGTTTGCCATTCGATAAAAGGTGGGGTTTTGAGAAGTAGATCGGAGAGAAGAGAAGATGGAGGGGAGTAGAGAGAAAAAGGGATCTTTTTTTCTTTAAGAAAAGTGGCTGGAGGAAGAACGTGGGAAACTGGCAGCTAACTGAAGCAGGGGGGTTAATTTACGTGAATGGCCTCAGTAGTGCGGTCAGTCTCCTTGGCGTTTTCATAGGCGGAACGTGGGATAGGACGCAGCATGTTGTTTAATCATTTGAGATGACAAAAATACCCTTCCAAATTCAGATGGCACGCTATTTTCTTTTTCTTATATTTCTTAAATTCAGGTATAGGATGTGTCAGAATTAGCTCGTTAATATATTTTAAATTATTTTCCTAATAACGGAACAAATATTTGAACCAATAATTTTTTTTTTTTTTTTCTTATGATCTTTTTGGGGGCAGGTGCAGTTTATTCATATAAACTGTTTAACCTGATAAACAATATATCCGAATAAATTGTCTAACTGTTTGATTTATGCGTTTGAAAAACAATTGATTCTAAATAAATGAATCAATAAATAATCATTCTGCCATTGAAATGAAATTATAAACAAATATCAATCGTAAGAAAGCATAAGTAATAATTGACATCCTTCATAAAATAAAATTATATGTAAATACTCATTTGTCGGTGAGAAATCGTGGTAGCTAAAGGCATCAATCAATTTTGCTTTTTTCAAAAAAAATTATACCTTCAAGAAAGATGCTCTGGTGAGACGTCAGATTTCTATTATTTGACATTTAAGAAGACAGACCTGGTATGTCCACTCTTCAGAAGATAAATCCAATGTTACTTTTTCGCCCCTCAATTGTACAGGACCAGTAATTCCAGCACCAGTGAAGTCAAAAAATGCACCATAATTCGATCAAAAGAGAAAGAAAAATCAAATAAAATTATTTTTACCAATCAAAAAGTCATGGCAACCATTATGAATGCTCACAAAATTAGTTTCTCTTCCTATATTCAATCAAATTATATGCAAACCAACTCTTGCACTCAAAAGCTCAATTTTATTGCTTCTCGAAGAGAAAGCAGTGGGCTTATCAAAGAAGAGGCGAGGAGACCAGCGAGGCTTCAGTGCGACAGAAAGGAGTCGAGCGAGTCATCGTAGAGAGGAGAGGTGAGCCGAGCTTCCATCGGGAGAGGGAGGCGGATGAACGAGGGCAGGCGAGCGAAAGAAGCAAGCAAGCGTGGGGCGAGCGTGAGAGGGCAGGCAATGTCTTTCGCTCAATTGAAACGCAGATTGTGGGCTCCTACCCACGATTCATGCTTAATAGAAACCTCCAAACGACGTTTCTAAAAATGCCACTAAAACACATTAATCAAACAGCCGATGACGTTCTCAAAACGCCACCGCCGTGAATTAATTCTTCCAAACACACCCTTAATTGAAGAAGCACCGGCTTAACCACAATGAATATAATTAGTTACGTGCCACTCAATTCTTATCCTTTTATATATCTAGCATCTAAATTTTAATGTTAATTTATATGTCATCTTATTTATTCAAGAAAACGTGTGACTGAATTTTAATGGGATATAAAAAATTTTAAAATGCTTCTAATTAAAAATAGATAGGAACTGTCATTCTTAACGAAGTATTGAATTATAGTAAAATTTGAAAATGATTGAATTATAGTAAAATTTGAAAATGATTTGATCCAAATTCAGATAATAAGAATACTGTAGCTTCAATTTAGATTCCGGATATCACAATATGATTTAAATTTGAGTTGTAAAATAACTGAATCGCTGCAATTTAGTTCTAACCGAAAGGCTTTATGAACAAATCGGATTTTCTTAGAAAATAATTGCATCAGTTAGTTGGATGAATTTCGAACTGATTAGCCTTAATTTAAAACCACGCCTTACCAAATTTCAAATTAACTCCAAAATATCTCCTCCGAGCTTTAATAATTGTAATGCAAGTCTTTTTCAATTTTTGTTATTTTATATTTGTGACAAGGACGTGACGCTTCGCATCCCGTTCATACAACTTCACCAAACATTTTCTAAAAGAGTTTTTTTTATAGTTTGATGTACTGCAATCATATCATTGAGTGCATGTCAAATTATTATATCAAGAATTTTAACGAGGAGTTATGTTTGGAGTTCACTGATATACAGACACGTGAATGTGATAGAAAAATAAAAAAAAATCGTTGCAACGCAGGGGATAATTTCTCCCGTGTTATTCTGTATTTTTCAGGTGTTATTGTGCTGGTATTCATGTGTTATTATATTCTGGAAGTATTTTTCGGCATTATAATAACACAATAACACATCAATATCACTACAATAACTCCTGAATAACGCAGAATAACACATGAGGAATATTCTCCTGTATTAACGGACCGGATCACAGGAAAACGCGCGCGTTTCCTTGAAGTCACGTGTTCGCATATCAGTGGACTCCGAATGTAGCTCAACGTTAGGAATCCTGATGTAATATTTTTTTTTTTCCATTGAGTGGATGTCAAATTATTCCAACATAAATGCTATTAAAATTTTAATAAATTAGTCATAGTATTATTAGAAGATGAATAATTATTTTAATTTAAATATGAAAGTACCTAAAATTCACCATTTTAATCATTTTAGATAATTTTTTCAGGCATGAAGATAAAATTGATTTTTAATTTTATTCTACAAACTGGAATAATATTAAAATAAGCGTACTTGTAAGATGTAATCTAGACTTTAGGATAATCAAGCCTTTGTCAATTTTTTTTTGTTTACATTTAAAAATCGTCTTTTGACTGCCCACAAATAGAAAAAATATTTTTACGAAATATAAAATATTTTTAGCAGATTCCGTTAATTAAATAATAAAAATTAACTGATTTATTTTTATAATTACTTAGTTGGCCTACATGGCTGTTCGAGCCAATTAGCTATAGCTAACAGACTGAGCTACTTTCAGCTTTAGGGAGTAAAGGGTCGCAGTGTAAACTCATTTAAAGCTATACAATTTGACTAGGGCTGGCTTTTAACGCATTCCTTGTAACTGGTAAAAAGTATGCTGATTTGAGGCTGGCGTTTGGCAGCCATGGAGTGGCCAAGCGGACAGCCAGGTACAAAGGGGTTTAAATTATGATTTAAAAAATTGACAATCATAAATCAGTTCTGATTATCATTATTGATTAAATCAGTTAATTGTTAAATTTTTAATGAATAATCCGAATCTAATATTGATCAATTTATTACTATATTATTTAAATTAAATAGCTAAAATAAACTTGTTAGATTTGATAATGGTTAGACTTAAATATTAATTTGACTTCCAAAAATAAAAGATGATTTTAATTATCTTTCATTTTATTTGTTATAAATTAACTTAAAGAAGAATTTAATCGAACAAATAATAAGCGAAAAAAATTAGAGTTCAAAATGAGAGAAACTCAATTTGATCTTATAAAATTGTGTCAAACATTGAATCAATTGAATGACGAAAATCAAATTATGCAAATAAGATACATTTGGCCACTGATTTGTTTTCGTTTATTATAAATTTTGAAAACTACTGAACACTTTTCATTCTGCAATTGACAGTGTATATTTTTCTGACAAGGGAATAGAATTAGGACCCCAAAACATAACTATTTTATTATTTTTCTTAGTTCTTTTTAGCACTAGGAGTCGTCAACTTCTCTAATTAGATGTCGTCGTATAA